TCAAACTACTTCGTTTACTGATTTATTGAATTCCGGTTCAGATCATCCGGTTAACGTAAACCGGCAATGGATGGCTCCTTCTTCTTCATCACCATCAGTACCACCAGCTTCAATGGAGTATTTTAGCTCGGGTTTAATTCTCGGGTCGGGTCATCATCATCAAACCCATTTCCCGATTCAATCAAATTCTCATCCTTTCACACATAATCACAATCATCATCATCAAGAGTTTTCCTTCGTTCCCGATCATCTGATTTCTCCGGCAGGATCTAACGGTGGATTCAATCTCGATTTCAACATGTCGACTTCTTCCGGCGCCGGAGCCGCCGTGGCCTCCGGTGGATTCAGTGGTTTCAACAGGGGGACCCTTCAGTCCAATTCAACAAATCATCATCAGTCTTTTCTTACGAATCTTCAAAGGTTTCCGACATCGGAAAACGGTGGAGGAGGAGGAGCACAGTTCTTGTTCGGTGCACTGCCTGCAGAGAATCATAACCCAAATCACAGTAATAATAATAATCACCAGTTTCAACTTTACTATGAAAATGGAGGATGCAGAAACTCAGACCAAAAGGGTAAAGGCAAGAACTGATCATGATGATTCTTAATTATTACCATTTGCATCAAATCTTTTGTAAGTTTTTTTTGTTTTGTTTATTCATAAGCCAAAATGTCATCAAATCTTGTTTTTGATTGTTATCATTAAATGTGTGTTAAGTTTGTGTTAGGGTTTTTGATTTGAGAGTCTAATTTGGAAAAATGTTTTTATCGTATTGGGTTTGTTGTTGTAATGTTGTATTGTGATAATTACCATTTTGTTTTGTGGCTTCATTATAGCATTTTTGTTATCACATAAAATGTTTATTGTTTTGTTGTTTTTAATAGTACGATTTCTTGGTATTGATCATGAATAAGGATAGGTCAAGGTAATAGGGCGATCCTTTTAAGGTACTAGATTAAATCAAATCAAAATATCAGAAGAAATGTAGTGAAAAGACAATAAACTTGAAAAT